GGACAGCCCAGGTGTGGCTGGGCTGAGATGTGAAGGAGATGTTGTAGCATATTTCTGTAGCACCAAGAGTCCCAGCGTCTTACCCCTCTAAAAAGGGCTCAGGGCTTGAGGGAGCTGTAGCCTGAGAGATGTGCTGAGTGAGCAGCAGAGGCCTTGGGAAGGTCTCTTGGGAACCCCCAGAAGTAGGTTTGGGTGCTGGTTGGGAGGGACGATGAAGGAAACCTGCCGGATCTGCGCCCGGGAGCTGTGCGGCAACCAGCGGCGATGGATCTTCCACACGGCGGCCAAGCTGAACCTCCAGGTGCTGCTCTCCCATGTCCTGGGCAGGGAGCTGTGCCGGGATGGCAAATCCGAGTTCGCTTGCAGCAAGTGTGCCTTCATGCTGGATCGCATCTACAGGTTCGACACCGTCATCGCACGTATCGAAGCCCTCTCCATCGAGCGCCTGCAGAAACTGCTGCTGGAGAAAGACCGCCTCAAGTTCTGCATCGCAAGCATGTACCGCAGGAACAACGAAGACTCGAGTACAGATGACAGAGCTGGGGATGGGACTGTGGACCTTTCTAACTTGCCTGACGTACGGTACGCTGCCCTTCTCCAGGAGGATTTTGCTTATTCTGGGTATGAATACTGGACGGATCAAGAAGAGCACAGCTTGGAGCCACACAGCTGCCATGCTTTGGAGGGAGCGAGTAACCGCCCGCGGCGCTGCCGTGGCTGTGCCGCGCTGCGGGTGGCCGATGCCGACTATGAAGCAATTTGCAAAGTGCCACGGAAGGTGGCCAGAAGCATCTCCTGCGGGCTGTCCAGCCGGTGGTCAGCCAGCATGGGCAACGAAGAGTCATCCGTGTGCGACGTGGCAGAGTCTGCCAGCGCCAGAGGGCCTGTAGATGGGGAGAGCATGGAGGAAGGCACGCCAGCCTCCTCTGTTGAGTCCCTAGACACAACTGTGGAGGCGAGCCCTTTGCAGCAGAAAGATGAAGATGCAGATAAGGGGGTGAAAGGGAATGGGAAATGTGATGATGTTTTGGATGACCGCATGACCCCAAACTCTTCGATGAGTGGGAACAGGCTGGAGCTGGCCCTCAGTTTGATCAAGGCTTTGGACTATAAACCGCTCCAGAGCCCCCGCGGCAGCAGGCTACCTATTCCTGTGAAGTCCAGCTTGCCCCCTACCAAGCTCAGCCGTGACTTGGCAGATGGCAGCACTTCTGCTGGCTTAATGTGTGCTGGTTCTGTCTTCCTGAACACAGACAGAAAATCCTTTTCCAGAGCTCCTTTGGGTCTTTCCCTGGAGATTTCAGAACTGCAGGAGCTGTGGGACGACCTCTGTGAGGACTATATGCCACTGCGGGTACAGGTAGAGGTCATTGTGCAGCCGTTCGCTTGAGCAGCGTTCCTGCCGTCTGATGCTAAGCCCACTAGGGATTCTTCTGTGCTGAGATAATAGAGATAGCCACGTGCCGCTGAACCCAGGGCTAAGAATAGGCAGCTCCATCCTTTTTAGGTGTGCTGCCTCTCTCCTCTGTCATTCTTCTGTCGTCTGTTTCCTTCTTGCGTTCTGGGAAGTGAAGCTTCCCCCTCCTCCATCGGCTCTCACTGTGAATGCAGCCTGCTAGATGGGTCTAAGCTCTTTGCATGCCTTGTCGTTCTCCTGCTGAACAAACACCAGTTTCACTTCAGCTTTCTCTTTAAGGAACTGGTGTGACTTTTACCCACAACCAGAGGGAGTGTTTTAAGCTTCTGGGCATGAGTTTTCCGGCAAATGTGTTTTCTTTGTGCCTGGGTAATGGTTCAGTCTCAGGAACGCCTGCCTCCAGAGCCCTGCCTCTGCAGATCAGGCCTCCAACCTGCCTAACGTGCAGATCGGCGCAGGCATCTGTGGCTCGTGCCCTGAGGAAAGGGTGTTTTCCTTGCAGGTGGATTTGTGCCAGGGGATGACTTTAGGGTTGGTATTCTAGATAATTGGTTTATTTTCTGATCCTTTGAAAAGATTCATCAATTAACGGCAAGTGTAGCTTAGAGGTGATGAAAGGTTCTGCTTTTGCAGGACTTCCTGGTGGTGTTATCTGCCTTGATGGTAATCCTCCTGTAGCTTCGAATTGCCTCTGTTTTGCCGGCTTTAATGAAATCTTCATTAGTGTGTAGTCAAAAAGCTGAACTTGTAACTCCTGTACCACTTTCCTTAATGAATAGAAGGCCTCAGTCAGCTTCAATTCAGGAATATCCATGTCAGCCTAATTGCATTCCCATTAGAAGCCTTAGTGCTGTCTAATGCTCTAGGTAGCCTGGGGGATTAGAAAAATGCTTTTTTATTACTATGGCAACTGTGGCTGTGCTGAATTGTGCTGCTTATTCAGCCAGTGCTGCTTTCTGCTCCATCTGCTCGGGCGTTTCCCAGAGCCATGTGCTTTCCCCATTAATCCTGCTCAAGAGATGATGCTAGGGAGGACTGTAGAAAAATTTCATCTGGTGCACAAAGGCATCGTGATGGCAGTCAGTGACTGAAGATGTGAAGCAGGGCATTGATGCTGTTCCTGTAGTCTGTGTTTCTTGGTACTACTTTTCACTGCTAGGGATATATTTACAGTGTAAAAATAGGCTTTATCTGAACAGAACGTGGCGCAATCAACGTGGCGTGTTTATGCTTTGTGTCACACGTCGCTATCCTCATCTGGGAATGGCTTTAGAGGAGTTTCTCCAGCCTCTGCCATCTGACTGCTCCTGCTAGGAATTCATCCTGTGGGATTTTCTACTGCCCATTTCTTGCCGCCACAGCAGCAGCTGTGGGTTTCAGTGCGGGGTCTGGCAGAAGGGGGAAAGCGCTTCATCCTCTGGATGGCTTTAACAGTGAAACTGAGAAGTCAGATGCAGCTAAATGGTTCTTGTATAAATTATTTGTCTTTGTATGAGCAGTACTCTTTCTAAAAGTCAAGTACTGCCATCCAGCGATTCACCTGCATAAACGCCTTTCTGTAGCGTGAAAGGGATGTATAGGATGACCGTTCCCCCATTGCTTTTGGGAAACTGCAGTTCTTTAGATTTACTGCCATACGCTACAATGGCTGAGAGTGGTCTGGTGTCACGGGCACGTGATCTCTTAGGTACTGTCGTCTTGGGCGTTTTCTTGAACCAGCAAATCTTACCCTGCATCGCCGCAGCCCCAGGAAAATGCCACCACACTCGGCCTTCTTGGTCAGACACGCTCTTGCGGCTGCCTGCAGTGCTGTGCTGGCAGCAAGGGAGGTGTTCCACGACTCACAACCGGTCTTTTATGTGCTGTTCTGGGCAGATGTGAGCTTGGCAGGCTTAGATAAGGCCATGATTATTATTACTATTTTTTAAAGAAGTGTTCTATCTAGGTTAGTGTGTGCTGACATTGCTGGAGCTGCACTGGGGAGACATTGTCAGTAAAATGCTGGTGTAGGAGAAACCTCTGGGGAGCTGTGCTTCTGACATGGCTGCAGAGAAACACGAGGGAGGCAGCTTGAGTGGGCTTTGGGACTTTGGACTCTGGAGCTGGCCCTGCCTTTCCCTTCCCTGCTCTTAGCTCCTTGCAGGCTTTCTGCTTATTTTTCTTTGTAATGTGCAAATTGTGAGAAAAGGTGTGTTTTTCTTTTTTCCCACCCCTCTGTTTTCCTTTATCAACATTATTTCAAAATAGCTGTGGAGTTCAGACATTCCAGCAGATCTCCCTGTCTGATCTGAAGCTTTCTGGCTGGGCAAATGTGAAATTACTTCCTGTGGTTTCAGTTAAATCTTAACAAAACAGGTTAAAGGAAAGCATTGCTTCTGTGTCTAAGAGGCAATGCACAGGCCTGGGGAGCTCCCCTGCGCTGCCTGCCTTTCCCAGACACAGCATTTCTGTAGCTGCTGAAGATGAGGATTCGGACTGACAGGGCTAATCAGAGTCGGCTGTTGTTTTCCCTGTGCTGTGCTGCCTGGAGCTGGTGCTCTGTGTGAGCTCTGAAAAGCTCTGGGATGTTCTTATAGCCTCTGCACTGCAACCCTGCGCTTGCCAGGGCTTAACACAGATACCAGTACGGTTGATCTTGTATCACTAATGAAATTCAGGAATACTCAATGAGTCCTGTGAGGGCTGGGGTGAATGCTGCTCTCAGGACTTAACTCACTAGGCAGGAGGTACCACAAGAGTAAGAAGGGATGACAAGGGATTAGTGTGTGCTCAGCCAGCAGGGTCTGGCAGGCCACGTGTCAGAAAGTAGGCTGTTTCCATTCTCAATAAATGAGTATGTGTCATGAAAAGAATCGCAGCTGTAGCATTGAATTTGCTGCAGTTTGTGGAACTGCAGGGAACCACACATGGCATGGGTGCTGGAGCATGGGGAGCTGTGAAGGAGAGCCCACAGAACCACAAAGTGGAGGGGTTCAGAGTGGGAGTGACTGCCAGGTCCCAGCAAGAGGGTAGCTGGTGGGAAGGATTGAAGGTTATGGGCTTGATGAAGAAGGAGAAGCTTGACAGAACATGTGAAGGAGTTTGATTTGGTGCTGGCTTTGTTTTGAAGCTTTTCAAAGCTGCCAACAGGTTAGATAGGAAGGAGAGAGGTTTCAGAGACGTGGCTTGGGTCTGAAGACCAGATCTGTCATCAGCCTGCAGACAGTGGTTAGAGCCAGACAAGCTGCTGAGCTCATCATACAAGAGTAACGAGAGACAGGGAGCCCAACCAGAGCCTCGGGGCAGCAGGAAGTTTCTGGTGGGTCAGGCAGAGAGCTGCCAGGTGCCAGCCTGCCACCCAGCTGAAGGAAGACATGGGCAGCATGATGTTTTGGAGATGGTTAGAAAAACACACTGAGGCATCTTTTAAGCCTGTGATGCAAGGTCTCTGAGGGCTCACAGCTGAATAGAAGCCACCAGTCCAAGACTTGAGGTATTTGTCTCTTTTTTCTTTTTTTTTTTTCCTCCAGAATTTGCAAGATGAACGTCAGCAGCCGGCTTCAGGTGACCCTGCAGCAGGGGAGCACGTGTCCGACCTGCGTGCTGCAGAGCTGCAGGGCGAAATCCAGCAGTTTGAAGCTGCCAACAAGGTATTTCTTCATGAACAGCAGATTCAGTGCCTAGTGAGCCTGATGTAGTTAGTACTGGAGGGTGCCTCCTAGCCTGGCCAGCGGTGGGCATCTGTGCCTCTGTTCCAGCAAGGGTGTGTGTGCTGACACGATTGTCAGTGCTGTTGTCGGCCAGCTTGAGTTAAGAGCATTTACTTTTTTCTGCAGTTGTGCTGTGTAAGTTTTCCATACTTATTTTTGCAAACTATTATTTTGGAAGAACTTCCCACTTGCCTGGTAAGCCTTCTGGCAGCTGATGAATGAGAGATGCACAGAGCTATTTCCCTGTCTCTTGGATTTGCATGGGCTGAGCCTGGTGCAGGAGAGGAAGGCCACCTGCCTTTTGAGATAGCTGCCACCTTTTTTGCAAGCAGTAAAGAAGATCAGTGCAGAGGGGGTCTTGCTTTCATTTTGATTTAAAGGCTTTCTTAAGAAAGTAACATGCAGCTGAGATGTCATGATGGAGATCAAATTTAAGATGTGTTGGGAGGGGTTGATGTTCTTAGTTATGCCTTTGAACTCTAAGGTAAATTGTGCCCACTGGCAAAACAGGGATTAAATGGGAAAAAAACACTGGGAGGGGGAGCTTATTTAAAGCTGGGGACAGCTATATGCTCTTGAAGCTGCCTGGACCACAAAAGTCGACAGGGAAATAAAGAAGCCTTGGGCCCAGTAAATGCAGTTGGAAGTGTTTAAACAGTTTAAGGGGAGTGTCTCTTAGAGAAGAGATAACATGACAGGTGTGTAAACTAACGAGCAACACAAGGAAATCATGTGGCAGCACCAACTCCTTAAGAAACTGAGGCTTGAGTAAGTTCTGAGAAAGACGTTATCATCCGAGACTTGAGAATGCCGACAGGCAGCATGTTTAGAAATGCTAAGAAGCAGTTGCATAAATGGTCAACATGCACTGCATCACAAACATGGTGAAAGCAGAGAACTCTCCTAAAGCTGTTTGAGTTGGTAGTCTCTTTAGGATGAAAATGTCAGAGGCAAAAGTTTCTCAGGCTGTAAACCAGCCACAGAGATGAGTGAGACGTTCGCCTTTGCTTTGCAGCCATACTGTTGGCATGCTGGCATTGGCTAGCCACCAGTTTACCTAGACCAGCAGCTGCTGCAAGAGTGCCTAGGTGGTTGAAGGAGGCAGTAAAAGAAAGGAGCTGGAAGATTGTAAAGGGGCAGCTGCAATGCTTTGGGGGTCCTGAGAAACAGAGGAAACTTTTTTTTTTAGAATGTGTAGCTTCTCCATGTTGAATTTTTTGTCCAGACCTCTTTTGAGGTTTTTAGGCTGAAGCAGCCCTTCCCTCCTAAGGGAATGGAAATAGATAATAGAAACTGGGAAGGCTGCTGGGCAGTCCGAGCAAGACTCTCTGTGGTATCTGGGAGGGAGTATGATATGTGAAGGCAAGCCTGGAACCTCTGCCCTGCGCCAGGGGGCTGCATTGGAGGGACCAGAAACACAGGAACGGTCCTGCAGAGAGACGGAAGGCTTTGTGTTTATTCACTGGTCTCCACCCAGTTCAAACAGTGTTGACAGGCTCTAGAGGGAGCTGCATTGATCGGGTGAACACCTGGGCTATATGGACTTGACTAAGGAGTGGAGATAGTCAGAAGGGTGTTTATGTAGAGCATAAAGCAGGATTAAAAAAGCAATGTATTTCTGACTTCAGTTGTTACAGGAAAAGCTGAATGAACTGAATTTTGAATTAAAATCTGTCCAAGAAACATCACAGAGGCAAGATCGTACAATCCAGAGTCTGAACGAGGCCCTGAAGAGCAAAGAGAGTAAGGTAATAGTTTTGGGTGGATAGGGTGATGCTCACAAAAGAGGAATGTGTGCTAGTCCTGTAGGCAGTGGCTGAAAACAAATGCTTAAGCCATTGCTAGGTATCCTGGATCTCATGAAATTATTTCTCTTGAGTTTTGTGGGATGCTGATGTGTCGTAATCCACAATGGAGGCTTGGAACAGGAGGATATGTACTTGATTTGTCAGTGACTGGGCTTCCTATCCTTTGACTTGCAGACAGAAGAGCTGTACCGTATCATCGAAGGGCAGAATGAGACCATGGCCAAGCTGCAGGACATGTTGCACAGAAGCCATCTGGGACAGTTGCAGGTATGTCCCTGGAAAGCCTCAAATACATCAGGTTTTGTTCTGCAGGGATCTTGGTATTTAAGTCCCTCTCATGAAGTGAATATTTGAGTTTCTCTGCTTCCCACTCTTATTAGATGTCAGAGAGCCCACTTTCATCCCAGGAGCAGCAAATGTCACTGCTAGATCTTCAGAACACGCTTTTCTGCACCAAGCTGGAGGTGCGAAAACTGACAAGAGCTCAGCGCCAGAAAGAGCATCAACTGACTGAAGCCAGGAGAGCATCCCAGCTCCTAGAGACCATGGTGCATGAGGAAGAGCAGCAGAAAGAGGCAACGTGGAAACACAACCAGGTATGACAAGCCCTTAGCCTGGAAGTCTCTGGGTTTACATGACTTAAGAAGCACTGATGTAGTCAATACTCCACTCTCGTTCATCATTTCTCCCTACACCAGTCTGGGCACACTCCCTAACTCCTTGTCACATGTGGCAGAGAGAATTCTCCAGCTTCCTTAGCTTCATATCTGAGCATTTAGAATCAGCACAGACACTTGATAGTGGATATGTTGTTACTTGTATGTCTTTGGCTGGTGCAAATGTCCCTTTTCTTTTTGTGATGTTACAAAGTTAATGTCAACTGCCACACGGGTTCGCTGTGATTGACTGTAGAGCTCTGCCTGTGGCCAGAGCAAGGACTTTAAGTAAATGGATACACTGGGAAATATAAAAAATTTGAACTTCATCACCATGGAAGTGTGTTTTGAGATGTGAAAGCTAGAGTACTGCAGAGCATTTTTGGCTATTCCCACAGCCCGTGTTGCTCTTAGCTTCTTCAGATTGGCCTACTGTTTACAGGTCTGTTGAGAACTGACTGCCAAGGTATGTGCTTTTTCCTGTCAGGAGCTGCGTGCTGTGGTACAAAAGCTGCAGGCAGAGCTGCGGGACAAGGCTCAGCAGCTTCAGACTGTGGAGTGGGAGAAATGCTGCGAGCTGCAGACCCAGGAACAGAGAGTTCAGCGCTTGAGTCAGCATCTGGCTCGCAAAGAGCAGCTTCTGCAGGTAAGATGCACAAAGATTCAAGTTGAGTATAACTCACCAGGGCCCCTGCTCCTCCTTTTGTATTTGGCAATGCAAAAGTCTGTCTGTAGCTTTCACATGTACCCTTTGAAGAAAGGAAGGAAGGAGGTGCTTCTGGCCTCCTGAGATGAGGAAGAAGGCACAGGTATCTGAGTAGCTCAGCCCACAGCGATGCCTGGTGAGCCGTTGCAGTTGCTCATCAACCAGCCTCAGGTGCTGGGACTTTGCCACCCTTTAATGTGGGGGTAGAGCAAGTATAGGGTGGAGGTAGTTAGCTCTGATTTTCCTGTGCTGCTCTCTGGGATGTTTCTGGAGTAACAGTCGTACCAGGCACGTGTGTGTTTGACCTCTAGGAATCAAGGGCACTTCTGCAATGCCAGCAAAGCTTGGACAAGAGCCCTGCAGCCATGAATGCGATGTTGGAGAAACTGCAGCAGCGAGTCAGTGACAGGGATGCTGCTCTGGAGGTGAGCACAGTCTGTTGGTAGTGTCAGTTTTCCCTGAGGTTCAGCTTTTGGGCTACCGTTAGTGGTGCAGCCCCAGGTTGGCCCCAGGGGTGATGATGTCTTCTATATTGTCTTCATGGCTCAGCCTTCTAGAGGAGCCCTCTGGAAGGGAAAGCTGAGGTGCCCCACACAGTGAGTAGGGGGCTGCAGAACCCTACTACGCCATTCTGAGTGATCACCCCCTCTCACCCTAGCGAGCAGTAGATGAGAAGTTCTGTGCCCTGGAGAAAAAGGAGCAAGAGCTGCAGCAGCTCCGTCTCTCAATAAGGGAGCGTGGAAGTGACCTGGAGAGACTGCGCAATGTCCTGTCCAGCAACGAGGCCACCATTCATGTGAGTGCTTGTACCTGGGCATGCGGAGTCCAGCCTGGCTGTTGTGTGGTGCTAAACAAAACTTCCAGTGAAGGCTCTGGTTGTTGGGGAGAGTGGCTGCAGAGTGTTGGCCTTCCTCTGACCCTGCATGCAGGGCAAGTTCCCGGATCACTTGTGTTTCTGGGCTGGTTGTAGAGGCAAGTGTAGTGTCTGGAGAGGATGGGTGAATCTATGTCACTCCACTAGCAGAAGAGACTGTTTTTTTCCAGTTCTGCTTAATTCAGGGTAAAGTTTCTGGCCCTGGTTGAGCTGCTTCTGTTGTGGTCCCCAGAGCCTGGAGAGTCTCCTGAAAGCCAAAACCCTGGAACTAGAGCAGGTCTCAGCAACCTGCCAAAACCTCTGCTGGCTTAAGGAAGAGATTGAGGCCAAATCCTGCAGCAGGCAGAAGGAGCAGGAGGGGATCATCCAGCAGCTGCAGACCTGCCTGCATGACAGAAACAAGGAAGTGGAGGTAAGGCCTTAGCTTGGCTTACTGAGCCTTTGGCCAGTTTGTCTGCAGAGAGAGTGGTCCCAAACCAGAGCCTTCTGGCTGCCTGCCTGTAAGGAGGGCATGTGAACCTGTGCCCAGTGCTTTGGAAGCTGGCTGCTTTTGGCACCTGTAAATACCTGTGCTTGCTGAGGCACTGCTTTCTCAGCTACACCCAGGCTGCGGAGCTGTTTGTCCATGAACAGCTTGCAGTTTGGGGGGAGTAATGTCTCTTCATCTCTCTCTTTCTCACCTTGTTCAGGAGCTTACAGCAACTCTGCTGTGCAAGCTAGGCCCAGGACAGAGTGAGGTAGCAGAGGAACTGTGCTTGCGTCTCCAGCAGAAGGAGAAAATGTTGCAGGATCTCGTCAGTGACAAGAACCGTCAGACTATGGAGCATGATGCTGAAATCCGGGAGCTGCTGCAGGCCATGAGCACCAAGGAGCAGCAGAGCAGAGTGAGTTGTGTGCAGTGCTGCAGTGGGGAGGCTAGGGTGCATGGTTCTTTATTGCATTAAGCAAACAGAAGCTGCTCTCTGACTGCTGCTGGTGGAGCTGCTGAGTGTTAAAGAACCAGGAGAGATGCCATGAGTTCTTTCTAGGTTGGTCTCAGCTCCTCACATGGGAGCAGTTATGAAGCAGCAGCTCTTGTAGCAGTGTTCAGGTGTCAGGTCCCTGTCATTACATGGGCTGGGTATGTGTGTGTGTGTGGTGGGGAAGGAGGTACAGATCCTCCTAGATATCTGTGCTCATGGGCTTGGGACAGCAGAGGGCCTGTGAGAGAGTTGCTGCTTCACGTGGGTGTTACCAGACCAGAAAGGAAGACTCTGAGCTGTGTCTTGTGTAGCACAGAAGTCTGAGAAAGCTCTGCTTGTTGGCTCTTAACTTACACGTTAGTCAAACTAGTGTATGGTCCTGCACGGGTAAATGCTGCTTAAAGAGCCACAGCTCCTACACTGCCTACTCTTGCACACTGGGTGCAGTTCAGTGTTAACTGAGATACTTTGCATTGAGCCCCCTTTCATAAAAAGGGGGCTAAAAGGCCAGGCACTGCCTCTGACTCATTTTGTCCTCTGTCTTTCTCCCCTCCTGAACAGGGTGAGAGAAACTGAGGAGCTTGTTCCTCTGTAGACAGAGAGGCTGAACCTTACTGCAGTTGTCTGGCAAGTAGAGATGGGAAGGCTGCAGTAGAATTGCTGTAAGTGGCCAGGAGCAATAGGTCCTAGGCTGGTTTGCAGAACACTTCTAGTCTCAAATGACAGATAAATATTGAAAGGGCTTCCCTTAGTCTCTAAGGAAGGGGAGGGACAGGGATCCTACTCCTGGTCACAGCTCTGCCTTCTCCTGTTTTTCCCACTCAATCAGGTGGCTGCTGAGAAGATGGTGCACGCTTTGGCTGAAAGGAGCTGTGAGTTACAACTCCTACGCCAGCATGTGTTGGTGAAGGAGCCTGTTGGGACCCAGTCAGCTGGTGCCAGGCTGTTGAAGCAGGACAAACAGCCCATACAAGTAAGAATTGTGCACTGTTTCTCTCTGCCTGTGGACTCAGGGCTCCAGAGAGAACTGATGGCAACAGGAGGAAATGGGAGAGAGGGGAGCACCACAAAGAATGATAGAAATGAAAGTGGGATTAGGGAAGAGACTTCCTATAGGAAGAAAAGAAGAAACTGAGGAGCAGAAATGCTGCCTGGATGTTCTGATCTTGATTCCACCAGCCTTTGTCACTCAGTATCTGCTTTTGTTTTGATCAGGCAGTATTTGAGCCCTTAGGGTATGCGAGAATACGAAAGAAATCCACCCTCTGACCTTTCAGCATTGACCCAGTCCTTCCTTGGGCTGGGCTGCCTCGCTGTATTGTAATCCCCTCCCTGACATTGTCACATTCTGGAGGGGACAAGAGAGCTAATTTTAGGTCCCACTAATTCTTGGCAAAGCCTGCTGGCTGTTTGCTGTCTCCTCCACAATTGGAGTTGGTATTTTTAAAGCAGCTTTGCTAAAGACCCCTTTGAGGCTGAACACAACTCCAAGGCTACATAAGCCATGCTCCTGCTTGAGCAGCTGTTAATGGTTTATTGGTGAGCTGACATGTTGAATGTTTTTAAGCAGCTGTAAACAGGTTGCTTGTTTCTATTCCCAGGATCAAAGTGAGCTCTAGAGGCTTCCAGGGATGTGTATATGGGCCTAGCTCTGTGTTTTCCTTCCTGTGTTGTCCTTTGGGGCTGCATCTTTGAATGAAGATGTAGGTCTTTGTAGAGTCTCAGTTGATAGCTGGGTTTGCTGCAGTTGAGTAAACCCTGTTTCATCCTTACTATGAAGATGCTCACTGCCAGCAATCTCCTAGTGCCCTGTTGCCCACACATACAGCTTCTAGGTTGGGTGCAGTTCATTTGTCCCCACTTGCCTGGCTAGATCCCCTCCGTTAGTTTCTCACATTTCAGAGGCATCTACAGAGCAGCCAGCAGCTTTGCTGCAATCCTGGAGCTCTCTCTTAGCTGAGAGTGCTAGGTTCCCCATAAAGGTGCAAACCTGGAGGCTTTTGTGTTTTCAGGAAATACTGCAGAGACCTTGTGGAGCTACAGCCATTGCTGGACACCCACAGGGAGACAGCAGCTGCAAGACAGAGGGAGGTGAGTTTGGTGACAGCTTCTTTTGAGGTCCCCCAACATGACCAGGACTTTTTACTGTAGGAGAAGCATGATTACATGAAACTGAGAGTCAAGAACTTTAAGCAAGAGTGATTGTTTTGAAATAAAACTGCCTCCCCTTTGGGTGGTGGTTTAAGGATGGGAGTATGAGAAAGAGAAAGAGGCTGGTGTTGGCTTTAAGGTGAGGGACTTCCATTGAAGACTGATGCTGTCCAGTGAAGAGTTTTTTAACTTTACAGTTCAGGCTGAGTTGAGACAATTGCAACTGGTTTGGATTGTGCCTTGGGGCCAGAACACCTGAACTTTGCCAGGGGCAGGACAGCAGGCCTGGGATGTTGCTGTTGCTCTGGGCTGCTGGTGAATGGTCAAGAAGAGTCAATCTTAAGAGAGATTGAGTCTCCTTCTCTGGAGGACCCGCCTGGATGCGTTCCTGTGTGACCTAGTCTAGATGATCCTGCTCTGGCAGGGGGGTTGGACTGGATGATCTTTTGAGGTCCCTTCCTACTCCTAATATTCTGTGATTCTGTGAAGGGAGGAGTGTCTACTAAGAGGCAGTGTAATGGGGAGTGCAAGCATTGTGGACCTATCTTGCAAAGAGTGATTCTGGGGTCAGAGCCAACACGCAGTAACCCTGCAGTAACCAAAGCTGTCTTTGCAGTTACGACGTCAGAGGCAGAACTGGAGAAGGATCTTGTTAATGCCAAAGAGGAGCTGGAGCTAATGGCGAAGAAGGAGAGGGAAAGCAGGGTGAGCTTATGATGGAGCCTGTGCTGATCTCCCTTGCTTACAGGAGATGGCTGTGCTGCCCCTCACTGGAGGTTTTGGACCCCTTATTCTGAGGGTACCCTCAGAGAGAGAAACAGGGCAGCAGCTCGCAGTGGGGTTTTGGCTTTATGAAGTCTTTCATGGCCTTCTCTTCCTTCCCTAGCGGGAGCTTGCTGCTCTCCAGTCTGTCGTGGCCACGCAGGAGGAAGAGCTGCAGGTGCAGGCCTCAGATATAGAGTCCTTGACCAGGACCATCCAGATCAAAGAGGACCTGATCAAGGTGAGATAATGCACTGTGCTGAGTCAGTTCCACCTGGGAAGGCTGCAGTGGAGTTTCTTCTTTCCCCACATCCTCTCCCTCATGCTCAGTCACTTACACTGAATGGCAAGACATAGAAACTTAGCTGCAGGCTTTCTGTGATAGCTGTGAGTGGGCACCCACCGCTAAGGAGTGAGGAGCATCTTCAGAGTGACGTGGCTAGCTGTCCATGGATGGTGTTGCTGCTGGTTTGCCTACAGCCCTTTGTTATTTTGGCCAGAAGACAAAGGCCCCAAACCCCCAGAGTGTTGTTGTTTGGCTTCTAACTCCTTGTGTACCAAACACCCTTTTTTGAGAGTCCTTTAAACAGAGTGCATTGTGTCCCTTCTCAGTCCTTGCTTCAGGTTGTTGTCTGTGCCTAATACACTCTGGGTGCCTTGGCATTCCTTTCTTAGGAGATCTGGGTCTTTCCAAACACTGGAAACTTTTGGCGGTTGCGTTCCAGGGAGGATTGCGAAGGTCCAGCTGTCCTTGCTACTGAGCCCTTCTTCACTGAGCTCTCCTGCTGTTGGTTTTCAGGATCTGCAGATGCAGCTGGTGGATCCCGAAGAAATTCCAGCCGTAGAAAGGTTGACACAAGAAGTGCTGGTTCTTCGGGAGAAAGTTGCCTTAGCAGAGTCACGAGGACAGGAAGCTACTGGAAACAGAAGGCAGCAGGTAGTGTGCCATGTGGGGATATGTTATTATTTCTGCTGGTGCTCGGTTATGGGGCTTTGTTTTTAGCCTTTGGATATATTGAGATGTGCTTGTTCTTGGAAGCTGTGTATGATAAGAGGAATTTAGAAGAGAGGATTGGTTCCCTTTAGCACTTGTCTCGAGGGCAGAGTCTTTTGGGAGTAGGGGTGACACTGATCAACTTGATCACTTGTACGTAAGCAAGAGAGGAAGGGGAAGCGTCTTGGTTCTGGAGCAGGTTTTAGATCACTTTGAGGTTCTAGATCAGGTTCCAGGTCAGTATATCATTCTAGAGGAGAGTTAGGTTCTGAGGGAGGGTTCGGATACCAGGTCCTAGTATCTGGTTCAGGGCTTACTTCTGTTTTGTGTGGGAGCAGGAGCCAAACGTTTGCAATTTTAAAGTTTGACTCCAGCCAGATTTTTAAAAAATTTGGGGTGAATGTTGGCTGCCTAGGGAAGCGCAGAGCCCCAGGGTTTGTGGGGCTTTCCTCTCATCCTGTCGCTTCTTACTTGGAAGACCAACCCCCACCTTGCTACAGCCTCCTTTCAGGGAGCTGTAGAGAGCAATAAGGTCTCTCCTCAGCCTCCTCTTCTCCAGGCTAAGCCACCTCAGTTCTGCCAGCTGCTCCTCATCAGACTTGTGCTCTGGTTTGGTAGGGAGGTGCTTCTAGATCACATTCTAGCTCACTTGATGGTTGTAGATCACGTTTCCCGGGCACTTGGATATTCTGAAGCGGGGTCATGGTTTAGCTGCCTTGTTGGTTCAGGACCATGTTCTGAGTCTAGCGTTTCGACTTCTGTTTCTTTTTAAAGTGTTGCATCTTGTCTCTTCTCTCCAACCAGTTGTTACTGATGCTGGAAGGGCTAGTTGCTGAGAGAAATCGGTTAAATGAGGCTCTCCAGGCAGAGAGGCAGCTCTATGGCAGCCTGATAAAGTTTCACACACACCCAGACAGGTAAGTGAGGCTGCCTTGCCTCCGTGCTGCCAAGCTCCGCTGCTGGGGCAAACATGGGTGGTCCAGTGGGGCAATCCCTGAAGCAGTGGTCATTCTGCAAGTCT